TAAAAATCAATTATTTTAACTGAAAGTCACTTTAGTGTCAAACGTGTTGTCTATTTAAACGGCAAAGTTTTTATCGAAAAATAATTTAGTTTTTTAGGATTTTTCTAATTAGAAGTGCATTTCAGTTAAACAAACAATTTATATTCAAAACAACTTTTTGTGCCCTTTATTTCGCAAACCATTGAGTTGACACAATACTCGATCTATGAATATAAAGCAAAAGATTGAGTTTAATTAAAGTGAATTATTTTTAGTTAATTTTAAATTGAAGTACGTTTTCGTATTAGTATTAAGTGTATTGTGTGTTAAACAAGATTTTGTTGGTTTTAAGGAGAAATTTTGTCAAAATAATGTATAATAAGCGGAATATACAGTATATATATGAATACTGGTAGAAAATATGCTGAATATAAACATCTGTTCAATATTGTTATATAGTCTATCTATCTATTGATTAGTCTATAGTCTACTGCATTCTCCCTTAAATAACATAAAACAACTGTGAATTTAATGAGCTGTTTGTGTGTTATTAACATTTATTATGTATTTCATTATAAATAACTGATGGAGTATTTGTCATATTATTCTGGCACTCGATGTTCAGTAGTTAAACGCATAGAGTTTGAAATTAAGCAGAATTATGTATATTATGTAATATACATATAATGCATATAACACTTACAACTTTTTAGTTTCCAAATAAATAAATTAATACATTGTTACTTGTTACAGCATATTATTATTTTTATAGAATATTCAATATATCATTCATAATAAATTTTTATTTATGTTCAAATGTCTGACCACTGGTTGTCATACATGTCTACATATTTGTAGAATTTATTAAATTATCAGAATTGGAGATATTGTGGACAGGGTTTGCAATAAATATGATTTGATTTCTGATAATAACTGGGATTCCGATTCCTAGAAGTTTGGCAAAAGCTTAACATTGAATTAACAGTCATTGAGCAGTGGATAAGAAATATATTATTTAATTAATAACGCATTCAATTGAATTTGAAATGAATGAGACTTACTATAGAATATCGTGGAATAGAGAGAGAGAGAGAGAGAGAGAGAGAGAGCTTTATATTATTGATTTTATATTTATTACTGAAAATTGTAAAAAGATTGTGACGGAAATGGATTTCGATGCGATTCCTCGCGTTGTATACCCTATCAGTGGAAATGTGACGGATTTGCCGATTGCAAGGATTTTTCGGATGAGAAAAACTGCTACAACTGTACGGAAAAGCAGTTTCACTGCGGGAACAGAGTCTGTATCTCTGAGTCAGAGATATGCGACGGATTTAAGGACTGTCCGGATGGCAGGGATGAGAGGCAGTGCTGTAAATGATATTATCATTGATTCTTATTAATCAGATAATCAGAGATTAATTAATAATTTTCAGTGCGTTTAAGTAAATCGATGAAAGAGTCTGGAGAGGGAAGACTGGAGGCGTGGAGTGTAGACACCAATACATATCAAGCGGTTTGCGGAGAGCACTGGAATGCCAGCTATCAGAGTGAGACGGCATGTCGTCTATTGGGGTATAAGAGTCTCAATGAGACACGAATTAGAGACGAGACCACCACACAGTCTATGGAGCTCTACAATAGGATCGGAACCGCTATTAACAGACAAACTCAGATGAAAGTGCTTTTTGATAAGTCGAGGAATAAGGGCTGTAGGAATGGCAAGAATATGACCGTTCATTTGAAATGCAATCATTTCGGTAATCATA